TCTGCTAAATGTCCTGCACTCCGTGTACAAATAGCATTGCTTTAAAAGATTGTGGCTTGCTTACTCATGATGCTGAGGCTTTCATGGTTTATTGAAGTTCATAGTCTTATTTTCTCAAAATGTGCAGAAGCACTTACTGAGATTTTTAACCTCATACAAATGTAATGAGATAAACTCTTTGGGCCTCCAAGTGGCTGTCATTGTTGCTGGCCATAGAAAATACATTGAGTATTGGCATGCTGTAAAATCTTTATTTTCAAATAATGGGATAAGAAGAATGTACTTCTCTAATTTGGAAATGCTTTGAGGATGGGAATGGAAAAAAGTGCTATAGTAAAACAGAAATGTATATGCTCTTTCTCCAGTATTGTTCGATGTTATGTTGATCATGACAAAAACTCATACACTGAAAAAATGATCTATTTTGTGGGAAATATGACTACTTAAGAATGAAATAATAATAATAATACCAGAAAGGGGCAGCCAAATAGCAAGAAAAACAGAATTTTCTTATTTGCTAAAAGTACAATATAACTTATTTGGAATCTAAGTTTTATTTCACACATTTTAATTGCTGCTATGATTATTTATCAAGATTAAGAGAACTGGAGAAGTAGCAGGTTTGGGGATGGGTAAGAAATCAAGAAAGGAAAGGCTATCCACTCCAGTATTCTGGCCTGGAGAACTCCATGGACTATATAGTCCCTGGGGTCACAGGTGTCAGACTCAACTGAACGACTTCCACAAAGGAAATCAAGAGACCTTTGAACATACCGAGTTTATGATCTTTTGAACATTCAGTGGAAATATCAGTCATGTAAATGGACCTGCTTAACGGAGAGGCAGGGTTGAAAATTAAAATTTGGGAATCATCAGGGTGTAGGTGGTGTTTAAAGTCAGGTGATCAGGTGAGCTCATGAAGGGAGAAGATAAATGAAGACTCAGGTAGGGACCTTAGAGAACTCCACAATTTAGAGACTGGGAATAGGAGGAAATAGAGAAGGAAATTTGAGGTAAAGTTCAAGTCTGTCACATTGAAGATAAGGCTCACAGTGTGTCTTCATTATATACTAATATGTAACAAAGAATTCCAAAACACAATGGCTTGTGGTATGCAGAACAACGGCCATTCTAAAGGTGTTCTCTAATCCCTGGAACCGGTGAATGTTACCTTCTATGGTAAGAGGTACTTTTCAGATGTGATTAAGGACCATGAGATGGGGAGATGATCCTAATCCTTAAAGGTGGGGTGGGGGAGCAGAAGAGTAGGTAAAGAGATATGATTTTGAGAAGGACTCAACCCATCATTCATGACTTTGAAGAGCCAAGGAATGTAGCAGCCTTTAGAAGCTGGAAGTGTCCATTAGCTTACAGCCAGCAGACAACAGAGACTTCAGTCCTACCACTGCAAAGAAACAAATTCTGTGAAGCAGGAAACAGACTCTCCCCTTGAGCCCCCAGCAGGGAATGCAGGCTGCCAATACCCTGCCCTCAGCATGGTGAGACCAGATGCATCACTTCATCTTCTCTTTAAATTGTTTTATTTTATTATTGGACACACAGCATGTGGCATCTTAGTTCCCCAACCGGGTATTGAATCCATGCTCCCTCCATTGGGAGCTCAGAGTCTTAACCACTGGATCACCAGTGAAGTCCCCAAATGTATCACTTCTGACCTGCAAAATTCTAAGATAATAAATTTGTGTTGTTTCAAGCCACTACGTTTGCTGTGAGAGCAGTAGAAAACCACTTTATTATCTCTCTTGATTCTGCTGGTTGACTGGGCTCATCTGGGCAACTCTGCTCCATGTGATGTAGCAGGAACTTCGATCCTCTGAAGACTTGGTTGAGCTGAGTTGTTCAAGATGGACAGCTCCTGTCACGGGTGTTGGCAGTTGGTGTTTGTGATCTTCTAGGAGTTTCGTTGAGACTGTTGCGCAGAGTGCCTGACTGTGGCCTTTCCATGTGGCTGGGTTCTGGAAGGGAGCTTCTCAGGTTGAGCATTTCAAGAAACCTCGTCAGAAGCTGCTGGGGTTCTTATGACTCAGATGGGCCTGGAATGGGCAAAATGTCATTTCAATGAAATTCTACTAGGTCAGCCAAGAGTCACTGTGAAAATGTGCTACACAAAGGTGTGATTACTGAGAGACCTGCTACATTGGGGTCAGTTTGGGGAGACTATCACACAAGCTAACTCTTTTTTCATCTGCAGCATCATCTTAATCTTATTCTCTGGCCTGTACATTGTTGATGCTCTGCTCAGGTCTACTTGAACTTGGAACTAGGGATTTTGACACCTTTTCAGCTTTGTACATGTCCGACTCTTTGCGAGCCCATGGACTATACAGTCCATGGAATTTTCCAGGCCAGAATACTGACCTGTATAGTCCATGGGGTTGCAAAGAGTCAGACATGATGGAGCAATTTTCATCATTTCATCACCAGCTTTGTACCTGTTGATGCTTCATGGAAAGAATCTTTCCATGCCCTATGGATCTGACATAATTCCAACATGTGCGATATTCTACCACATCACCAAGCAGTTCTTTACACCAGCTGGGTGTCCCACAATTCAACTCAGTTCTAACACTATCTACCCAGAGATAGCATCAGATTTTACCAATTAGGGGCTGGGTTCCACAAGACTGCCCTCCACTTCAAACGCCAATCACGAGTCCAGGTTGTCAGCTGTGCATATGATCAACTGATTATAGATGGGAGTTTTAAAAAATTCTTCTGAGTTTGATTAATTTGCTAGATAAAAGAACTCAGAGACACATTTTATGTATGAGTTTCAGTTCAGTTGCTCAGTTGTGTCCAACTCTTTGTGACCCCATGGACTGCAGAATGCCAGTCCTCCCTGTCCATCACCAACTACTGGAGTTTACTCAAACTCACGTCCATCAAGTTGGTGATGCCATCCAACCATCTCATCCTCTGTCGTCCCCTTCTCCTCCCACCTTCAATCTTTTTCAGAATCAAGGTCTTTTCCAATGAGTCTTCACATCAGGCAGCCAAAGTATTGGAGTTTCAGCTTCAGCATCAGTCCTTCCAATGAATATTCAGGACTAATTTCCTTTAGGATGGACTGGTTGGATCTCCTTGCAGTCCAAGGGACTCTCAAGAGTCTTCTCCAACACCACAGTTCAAAAGCATCAAGTCTTCAGTGCTCAGCTTTCGTTATAGTCCAACTCTCACATCCATACATGACTACTGGGAAAACCATAGCTTTGACCAGACAGACCTTTGTTGGCAAAGTAATGTCTCTGCTTTTTAATATGCTGTCTAGGGCAGTCTAACTTTTCTTTAATTTCATGGCTGCAGTCACCATCTGCAGTGATTATGGAGACCCCCAAAATAAAGTCTGTCACTGTTTCCACTGTTTCCTCATCTGTCTGCCAAGAAATGATAGGACCAGATGCCATGATCTTAGTTTTCTGAATGTTGAGCTTGTATGAGTTTACTGGCTTATTATGAGGTATCACTCTGGAACAATTAGACGGGAGAGTTGCAAAGGGCAAGGTATGTGTAAAGGGAACATGGAACTTCCATGCCTTCTCTGAGCTGGTCACAGTCCTCACATTTCCAAGTGTTCACCAGCCCCAAACTCTTCAAACCCTGTCCTTTTTTTTTTTTTTTTAAATGGATGCTTCATTATATAGACACTATTATTAAATCATAGGCCATCAGCAATTTAACTGACTCGATGGACATGATTTTGAGCAAGCTCCAGGAGCTGGTGATGGACAGGGAAGCCTGGCATGCTGCAGTCCATGTGCAAAGAGTCAGACACAACTAAGTGACTGAACTGAACTGAACCAGCCCCTCTCCCCTCCCTGGAGGTGAAGATGGGACTCAAGAGTTTCAACCCTTCAATCAGAAGATTAGTTTCCTTGGCAATCTGACCCCTCCAATTGAGCTGTTCCAAAATCCCCTCATTAACATAACAAAAGGCACCTTTATGGCTCTCATCAATTAGGAAAGTCCTAGGGTTTCAGGAACTGCATGTCCTGTGAGGAAGACCCAAAAATATTTATTATAAATCTTGATCACCCTTCCTTACCTGCCTAATATAGCTCATCTTTAAGACACATTTCAGCTATCATCTCCTCCAGGAAACCCTCCCCATCTTTAGGTTAGGTGCCTGGATTGATGATGTCCTCTACACAAAACCCTGCCCATACATCTGTTGAAGAATACAATTTTTAATTCTTGCTGATTTACTTGATTTTTTAAAAAAATCAGGCCATAAGCTCCTCAGAAGAGTGCATTTTGTACTTTCTGATTCCCCCAGATGGACAGCACAAAGAGGGGTCTCAGTAAACGTTGGCTGACAGAGCAATAATTGAACAGTTCTCACCATTTATTATTATCTCTGTAAAGAATCTGCCTGCGATGCAGGAGGCCTGGGTTCGATCCCTGGGTCAGGAAGACCCCCTGGGGAAGGAAATGGCAACCAACTCCATTATTCTTGCCTGGAGAATTCCATGGACAGAGGAGCCTGGCGGGCTACAGTCCATGCGGTCGCAGAGTCGGACAGGACTAAGCAACTAACACACATACTGCAATTTTTTATTACTTACCACAAAGCAGCAAATAAATGCATCCAACATGGTACTGTACATATGTCAAGGTTTCAACCAGGCAAAAAATTATGCATGCAGGAGGGCGGGAACTAAAAAGGGTGCTGGGTGGCCGGTGGTGGGGTGGACGCTTATGATCGTTTGGGAAGGCACAACCGTGGGTATATTTTATTTTTCTCTATAACGTTCTAATATAAAGCTGTCACTGCTAAATAAGAGTGTAGAACCACCAGGTTCCAAAACGTCAACAACTTTGTCATTTGCCGCACGGGCCGCTGATTGTCCACACCTGGGAGTTTCTTAGAAATGAAGAATCTCAGAGCTCACCCCCAGATCTGCAGCATTAGAACCTGCATTTTGGCGAGATCCCCCTGTGATTTTGTACGCGCATTGAAATTTGAGAAGAACGGTCAAGGCTCATCCTCCGATAAATTTACGGCCGTTTATGCAAAGATTCCCAGGACAACACGATAAAAGAAGCGTATTCACATCTTTGCCCTTGCTTTCTGCGTCTCTTGAGACCCTTCCAGCAATCTTGAGGGGGTAGTGGGCTGGGAACAGGGGAGTAGCCTGGGAACAGGAGTAGCCTGGGAACAGGCGGGTCCCGCCGCGCATCACTGCAGGGCCGCCGGTCTCAGCCTCCAGGCCCGCCGCGCCTCGTCTCCCCGCGCCGGGCTCGGTGGCGCGCGCCTGTAATCCCAGCTTCTTGGGAGGCTGAGGTCGGCGGATCGTGGGTGCCCGGGGGTTCGGGACTCCGGCGCTGTGTAGAGCGGGCGTCCGCACTGGGCCCGGCACCAACATGGGGCTCCCGGGGGAGCCCGGGGGTACCAGGTTGTCTAAGGAGGGGGGGACCCGGCCCAGGCCGGACACGGAGCAGGTCAAACTCCCCGTGCTGGGCGGCGGTGGGACCGCGCCTGCGAGCAGTGCCTGCAGTTCTGCCCGGACATCCGACGAGACCCGGTCTCTTTTGTTCACCTTCCCTTTACAGGATTCTCTCTAAATCATTTCCCCCTAGCATTATTATCGCACACAGCCAACCACCTGACTTCAGGGCGGTGCGCATACTGCTGTAAAAAGATAAACTGAGGTATCTTAAAATTTTAAAAAGATTTTATTTGAGCACAAATCGATGCCAATGGAGCAGCATCCAATCTAGCGGGTAGGAGGGAGCTCCGAGGAGCTGCATAAAATGGAAGGCTCTAGTAGACAGAAGTGAGCAGGAACAAGGAAGTTATATTAGGGAAAAAAGATGATTAGTTATTGCTAAATTTCTTTCCTTTAGGGGATGGCAGGAGCTAGATTATCTAACTAATACTGATCAGGTAATTCCTGATTGACTGGTTTTACATTATATTTCCAGGTGGGCAAAAACGCTAATTAAGTCTGGGTGGGCTTGGTGACAATGAGGCTTAGCATAAATGACTCCCATTTTGGGCCTGACTTGACTTTTTTTTTTTTTTCAAACACTACCTGTTTGCTTTATCTTTAAATGTTGCACACAGGGGTAGGGTGGTACAGTCAGGCAAACTGGAAGAAACTCTTCTTAATGACATATTATCCTGGGGATTTCTCCACTCTGCAATTGGCCTTCCCCAAAACAGTAAGGCTATATTGCATTTTGTAAATACTGCTTCATTATATTGCATTACCTGACAAGTGTATAATCCAAGACAAATGTGCAACAGGTCTGAACTTCAAGTTATTTTCAGGAACTTCTCACTCAAAAACCTGTACACAAAAGTTCTTCCTCGACTGGACAGAAGACCTGAAGAGACATTTCACCAAAGCAGATATATAAATAGCAAATACACACATGAAAAAGGTTTCAACATCATTAGCCACTAGGGAAATGCAAATTACAAGCACAATGAGTTGTCACTAGATACCTATCAGAAGAGCTACAATAAAACTAGTAACAACGCCAAAGGTTGATGAGGCTATATATGTTGCTGATAGGAATGTAATATGGTGCAACCACTTTGGGAAACACTTTGTCAGTTTCTTTAAAAACTAAATATGCAAGTACCATGCTACCCAGCAGTTGCACTCCTGAACATATATCCCAGAGAAATGATGACTGATGTTTACATAAAAACTATCCTCAAGTGTTTATAGTATATTTACTCATACTAGTAGAAACCTGGAAACAACCCAAATGTCCTTCAATGGAGAATGTTCAACTGTGGTGAATAATATACAGAATACTATTCAGTAATAAGAAGGAATGAACTATGAAAGATTCAACAACTTGGATGAATCTCTAGACTATTACAGTGAGTGTAAGAAGCCAGTCCCGATAGATTATATTGTATATATGGTTCTATTTATATAACATTCTTGAAATTGCAAAGTTGTAGAAATGGAAAGCAGATTAGTGGTTGCCAGATGTTAGGGTGGGGGGAGTAAGAGGTCAGTGGCTATAAAAGGGCAACCTGAGGACCCTGATGGTGATGGAAATGTTGTGTACCTTGACTTTATCAATATCAATACCCTGCTCCTGATATTGCATTATAATTTTGCAATGTGTCACCATTGGGGGCAACTCAGTAAAGCATACATGAGATCTTTCTTCATTATTTCTTACAACTGAATGTGAACTTATGATTATCTAAAAGTTAAAAATGAATTTTAAAAAGACAGAGGTCAGAACACTGAGAAGTAGCCATTTATAAAAAGAGTCCTTAGAAGTAGGGGAGAGGGAAGATAGAAACAGAGTCACCGGAGCGCACAGAGAAGAAAAGATCCAAGGAAGACTGTGTCATGAAGGAAGCGTTGTCAATAGTTTGCATTCTGCACAAAATTAAGTTTAGGGGGAAAAAAAGCCAAAGCATTAGAAACTTGAGTGGCTGATGGTAATGTTTTCTTAGGATTGGAAGGCAGACGTAAGCTGATGAGCAATTAAGGCAAAGAGCCGAGACAAATAGTGTTCCTGACACAAGTTTGGTGGTGAGTGGAAGGAAAGCCTCTGGGGAAGAAGCATGAGGGCAAGACAGGAGGGCTTGTGCCCGCTTCTTCTTGTCTAAAGATGAGGATTAGGCATTTTGTAGTCTGAAGAGAGGCAGGTAAGAGGGAGAGAGATCAGACACAAGGGTAGAATGGAATTTAGGAGAAGGTTGTCAAAAGCTCAGATGGAGTGTTAATTAACCTTGGAAATGAGGGGAAACTTTTCCTGAGTAGGAAGAGGTTGGAATATGTGAAGAACCAGAAAATGAGGAGATAGGGAAAAAGGAAACCACTGGAGTATCATGGCTCTTCTTTCTTTCAAGGCTCTGCCTCAGTTTACCAGGCACCCTGCCCCGCACTCTCTTTCAGCCAGGAGCCACCTCTTCAGTTTAACTCAGATGACTTCATTTTCTAGGAAACTTTCTTCAGTTCTCCTGCCTTGCCTCTCTCTTTCTCTTCAGAATTGCATAGGAGTCCACTTATTCAATAAATTTTTATTGAAGGAAAATGACGTCGAGAAAAAAATGCAATTGATATTCCTCATATTAAACTTCTCTTTTTCATATCTACCTGGGAGACTGGTCTCCTTTGACTTCTCTCCTGGCAGAGAATAAGATTAGGGGGGAAGGGGGAATCATTAAGTAGAAATGAGTGGGAGAAAGTGGAGTCCCCTTGATTTTGGCTTAAGGTTGCTGGACTAATTCCATGGGAATGAAGAAGGTGTAGGTTTGAAGAAAGAGGAGCATAGCATAAATAGAACAGAATCCGAACCAAGAAAGAAGATACACACTAAATAGTACAAAAAAGAAGGGAAAGTGGTTTTCCTTTAGCACATTTGGATCTACTTCCATTTAGTGAAATGTAGAAGTCCGTCCCTAGGTTTCTCTGACTGAAAAAATCGTCTTATTGCACAATACCCTTGTGTCTTCTTTTATGAATTTGAGAAAAAAAAGTCGCCTATTTTTTTTGGTTCTGTGTGTATTTTGTTTACATTAGTACATTCAGTATTTTAATAAACATTAAAATAAGTCGTTTGTTTGCCGAAACCCGGGATCGAACCAGGGACCTTTAGATCTTCAGTCTAACGCTCTCCCAACTGAGCTATTTCGGCTCCGCCCACACGGCTTTGAAATAATGCGTAATGGCTTTATTCTTTGTCCTTTTAGTCACTACTTATTAAGAATTTGTTTGATAAACATCACGATAAGTACTTTGAGGAAGTCAAAGATAAATTTAAAAAAGGACTTTCATCTTCTAATGGCTCACCAATTTATAAGGAGAAAGATAAGACAATTACAAATTATGTTTTAAGAACTGCTGTAATTACTTAGTTAAACCTTCAATTTATTCCCGAGTAAATCCACAGGTCTGGAGCAGGGAAAGAGACTCTATGAAGCTACATGCCCCGATTTCTTCTTCTTCGGCGTTGCCACATCTGCCTCTCTTCCATATTTTATTGGTTGGTGCGGACAGGAGGTCCTTGTAAAAACGAAAGTGATCCTGTTGCAGTGCCACTTCGTACCTACGAAGCATTAGCCTCGTAGGATTTTCTTGATACCCTTCTAACACCTTCCCTGGTGGTCTAGTGGTTAGGATTCGGCGCTCTCACCGCCGCGGCCCGGGTTCGATTCCCGGTCAGGGAATAGGTGGTTTTTTTTTTTTTTTTTAAACTACCAGGGTTCCCGCATAGGGGAAACTTTAAAAGTGTATACAAGCTAACTTTTAATTTCCATATGAAACATTTTCGGTTTAGAAGCCCTGCAATGGTTTTGATATTCCAAGCTCAAAATAACAAATGATGTAAATTTTAATGGTTTACAAAAAAATGAGTAAATGAGTTAGTTACTTCTCATTGATCAAAAAGCTGTCCACTATTCTTAAATGCCTCAAAATTTTAATTTATTGGTTTGGATGATCCAGTGAGAGGGAAATTTTGGAGGCAATTGATTAGCTTCAGGAGTTGATCGAGATTAGCATAACATAAAGAAAAAATAGTTACGAATGAAGATGAAAGAAATCGAGAAGCTATTTTCTGGACGTTTGTCTTCGCTGGTTGTGGGCGAGTTTCTGAATCCGGGAGAGCAGCTGGAATTTTGAAAACCACTCTATGGTGGATTTTCTAGTCTAACTGCTCTGGGAGAAGGGAGATCGCCCGAGAAATACCGGCAGGGTAATTGAATTTTGGGCCTAGGCGAGCTCCGGACTGCCTGATCTCCCCAGAGCCTCCACCTCTCTTTAGCTAGGAATTTACAGTTTGTCTGGGGTTTGCTAAGAAAGAAAATAGGGGAAGGCTAGATCATTAAAGGAAAACTGTCAAAAACTAAGAAACAGGCAAACAAAGTATTGAACATATCTGAATGCGCACCTGAGAAATTTACTGATAACTACTGGAGGAAAGGCAGATCCTGTTATTCTCCTGACTTTTGACAGTTTCATACCTTTGCAATAACTGGCTTCTGTCTGACAGTACTGGGGCACGAATCTTTGTTACTTGGTTTGTCTAAATAACAGTCACAGGTGTACTGCTTATTATTTCCTTCTCATTTCTTATAAAAGTTCAGTGTGCATTTTAACTCTTCACAAGTTTCCAAATAGAAATCGTGGTGTCCCTGATCTTAGTTTACAAACAGATGGTGTTTTTATGATCAGGTTAAATGAAACAATAGTACTCTTTCTAACTAATTGCACATTTCCTGCTCTCCCCCAACCCCCAAATATAAATTCCCAAATTTCAAAACCTCTTTGAGCTGGGCCACTCCTTTGTTATTTTGCCAATATGCTTATGTTAATATATTTTAACGCCTATGTAATATCAATTTATGTAAGAAATTTTATTTTTCTATAAGCATAAAAGTAGTAGTTTGCCGAATTTCTCTGTATACGGAAGCTGTTCTGTGTTTTTTTGCTTAATGTTTCACAGGGAATCAACCTATAGGCCTGATGGCAAACACCTCTTGAACATCTTTTAATGATGTCATATTTTGTTTCCTCTCTATGTAGCAAGAATCTTTTGCTTTATTTCTTTTTAATATCTGTTTTTTTAGAGAGGAATC